ATGTATATATGTATTTTTTTTTGGGGGGGGAAGGGTTTCAATGTACATAATATATATGTATATATATGTATGTTAGATTCCCGACAATTTGGAGAACGCAGTGGAGCTGGAAAGGGCGAAAAATTTAAAATTAAATGTCAAGGGGTCCAGTCCATTTTAAAAGCGTTTCCAATATTATTGCCATATGGAAATACCATTTTTTTCAAGATTTCCAGGAGACAAGAGGATGTGTAGCAAATGCGCCTTTATAATTAATAACAATCTAAATTATTTAAATAAAAGGGAACAAAGTGAATCAGGGGGGGGGGAGAATTGGGACCATTTGTTGTACCACCCAATCCATATAAGTTATGGTATTGGCACAAAATGGCCCCAAATGAAATTATTTTTAATAACCCCAGACACATTACGTGTTTCAATTGCGCAAATCCCATAGAAGCGCAACAAGGGGATGCAGAAAACTGCATTAGATGCAGGGTAATCTTTGTCAAAAATTGGACATCGTTTCAATATCCGATGACACATGTATCTTATATACCATTCGAATAAAAAAAAAAAGCACAAAAAAAGGGGGAAAATAATAGTATATTTTTGATTAATATATGTATTTTTTTTTACTTACCATTAATTCAAAGAAAAAGGGGAAGAAAAATTCGATGAATTGGAATTGAAAGATGAAATACGGAAAATTCCTTTTTCAGCCTCACTATTTTCCGATTAATTAGATTTCTCGTTTTTTTTTAGATCCTTGAAACCAATTTAAAATTGAAATCTGAAAAGAAAACAATAAATAATTAAATTAATAACTTTTCAATTAAATAACATTTTAAAAAAAAAAAAAATAATATATTTTTCTTACCTTTTATAGGGTTCCTATTAATTAATTTTTCCAATCCGGTAATTTCTTCAATAAATCCACAAGAAACGAATGACCTTCATTTCCGTAAACAAGCAAAAAAAAGGATGCGGAAAAATCATTTGTTCAATGATTCATTATCAATAATAAAAAAAAAAAAAAAAAAAAAAAAAAAAAAAAATTTAATAATAAATATTAAGGAATACTTTCCTATTGGGAACGGTGGTCTAGTAACAATCTAGTAACTTTGACCCATTCTCTCCCTCCATTTTGTTTTTTCTACTCTTTCTAACCTATTAATTGAAGAGAGACAAAGAAAGAAAATGGAGGGAGAGAATGGGTCCCCACCAGATGGCGTATTGCAGTTTAGCCGATCCCAATAATTCCGCAAATCTCCAATATTTAAATCCCTGAATTGAATGGGAACGTTGAAATTTGAAATTAAAAAGAAAATTTTAATTAAATTTAACCGATATTTAAATTTTGCCACGAATTTCAGGTTAGGAAACATTCAAAAAAAAGGGAATTTCTAGCAGAAGACTAAATAAATATTTTAAAAAAGGAATTTTTTTTGAATATTATAAAACAATATATAAAAAAAAGAGGAGGGAATAAATAAATAAAAAATAAAACTTTTAATAATAAAGGGAGAGAAAATTAACAAATATTATTATAGTAAATTTTAAATTAAAAAACCTAACCACAAAATAATATAATGAGAGAAATAAATAATAATAAACACTTACCCAAAGAAATAATCACCAGAATCCATATATTTAATTAAAAACAATAATGTGGCACTAAATCTGACAACTGTTATGTCAGAAAAACACAATAAATAAAAAAAAATACAAAGGTAAACACTGTCCATTAACACATGTGTATACTTTTGACAGATCAAACATTGAACATATGATCTAGAAGGGCAACTTCATAAACGAAAATTTGTGTATAGATGGAGTTGAAATCACATCCATAATTATTGGCGCTATTTTTAAATTTAAAGAAAATAGGAATTAAGAATCAATTGTCAGGAAATAATAATAAAATTACTAAATGAAAATTCGATCATATGATCAAATTTTTTTGTAAGGGGAGAAGTGTAACAGTGACGGATCATTGACGTTCAGGCCCGAGGTTTTTGACTAAGTCGACCCGATCACTGTTACTCAGTGCTGTAATAAATAATGAGTTTGCGCTTTAAATAATAAATTTAAATTTGATTTATTGCAAGAAGTTGTTAGAGAATTGATCGACTATTTGTATAATGAAAAGAATGGAAGAATAAATGCAAATTGATTAAAAAATAAAATTAGAGAAACAATTATTTGATTGTTTTGATATGAAGATTTTATTTTTGAATCAAAACAAATATACAATTAATTAAAGTTAGTAATTACGTAATATAGAAAAGTACTCCAAAAAGGGTTTTTCTGCAGTTTCCCCTTTTGCTAGAAAATTGTTATAGGTGAATACGAGTACTAATAATTATTGCTGCAGAGAATTGAGTCTTGATTGAAAGTTAATTAATTAAAAATAAAAGCGGTAAATTTGAACTTAAATTTAAGTTCTTTGAAAATTAAGAAAAATTAATATAAATAATTAAAATCTACATAAATATATATATGTATTCGAATAAACGCAACAATTTTAATTTGTAAACCTGGAAAATTTTGAGAAAAGAAAATAAAATACTAAATTAAAGAAATCAATACATAAAAGGGAAAAGAGAGTAAACAAGTTAAAATTGATGCGTAAGTTAAATCGTTAAATGACGGTTATCTAAGTAAAAAAATGAAGTAAAACTAATTTTAGATCATAAATTTAGCAAAACACGCAATTTTAAATGCGTATTTTGTGCAGGTGTTCCACATAAAAAATTATGACAGTTACGAACGGTTGCAACGGTCTTAAAAAAAAGGGACCAATCAATTAGCGAGGGCGGGATTGAACAACTTGAAAATAGGAATATGATTGGGAAAATTTCTTATGGAAAGGGAAAAGGAACTAAAATTAAGAGTGGAAAATTGACTATAAAAACATAATTTTATAAGGAAGGACCGCAGATTTTTGGCGAGCAAATTAACGTGAATTTCGCGAAATAATAAACTCGTAAAGCTCAAATTAAAACTTAATTTATAATTAATATTTGTCAAAAGGGATTATAAATTAAGAATATTTAAACTAAGTTTAAATAAAGCGTATTTAAACAAGACTCAATTCGATTCAATTGAATAAATTTTTGATTTTCTAATTAAAAATCAGTGTCTTATTTATTTAATAAAATAAACCTACGTAACTCAAGCCAGTGGATCCTTTTAAGGATCTAAATGATGAAAGAAACCTACGGTTGATAATTTGAAAGGAACAAAATTCAAATTTTATAAGCTAAAATTTTTGGACAAACATTGTACATTTTGAACTTCGCTTTACTCTCCGTTTGGAAGTTTCGCTGTTTGTTACAATAGTTCCGACTTGAGCAAGGACTTAAGAGTTGCTTGATCAAGACGGTCTTATTCGAATGAGTAGAGCTTAAGACCATACATATTTGTAACAGTGACAGTGTGACACACCGCGAAACTTCCAAACGGAATGTAAAGCGAAGTTCAAAATGTGCAATGTTCGTCCAAAAATTTTAGCTTTATAATATTTGAATTTTGTTCCTTTCAAATTATCAGCCGTAGGTTTCTTTCATCATTTAGATCCTTAAAAGGATCCACTGGCTTGAGTTACGTAGGTTTATTTTATTAAATAAATAAGACACTGGTTTTTAATTAGAAAATCAAAAATTTATTCAATTGAATTGAATTGAGTCTTGTTTAAATACGCTTTATTTAAACTTAGCTTAAATATTCTTAATTTATAATCCCTTTTTGACAAATATTAATTATAAATTAAGTTTTAATTTGAACTTTACGAGTTTATTATTTCGCGAAATTCACGTTAATTTGCTCGCCAAAATCTGCGGTCCTTCCTTATAAAATTATGTTTTTATAGTCAATTTTCCACTCTTAATTTTAGTTCCTTTTCCCTTTCCATAAGAAATTTTCCCAATCATATTCCTATTTTCAAGTTATTCAATTCCGCCCTCGCTAATTGATTAGTCCCTTTTTTTAAGACCGTTGCAACCGTTCATAACTGTCATAATTTTTTATGTGGAACACCTGCTCAAAATACGCATTTAAAATTGCGTGTTTTGCTAAATTTATGATCTAAAATTAGTTTTACTTCATTTTTTTACTTAGATAACCGTCATTTAACGATTTAACTTACGCATCAATTTTAACTTGTTTACTCTCTTTTCCCTTTTATGTATTGATTTCTTTAATTTAGTATTTTATTTTCTTTTCTCAAAATTTTCCAGGTTTACAAATTAAAATTGTTGCGTTTATTCGAATACATATATATATTTATGTAGATTTTAATTATTTATATTAATTTTTCTTAATTTTCAAAGAACTTAAATTTAAGTTCAAATTTACCGCTTTTATTTTTAATTAATTAACTTTCAATCAAGACTCAATTCTCTGCAGCAATAATTATTAGTACTCGTATTCACCTATAACAATTTTCTAGCAAAAGGGGAAACTGCAGAAAAACCCTTTTTGGAGTACTTTTCTATATTACGTAATTACTAACTTTAATTAATTGTATATTTGTTTTGATTCAAAAATAAAATCTTCATATCAAAACAATCAAATAATTGTTTCTCTAATTTTATTTTTTAATCAATTTGCATTTATTCTTCCATTCTTTTCATTATTCAAATAGTCGATCAATTCTCTAACAACTTCTTGCAATAAATCAAATTTAAATTTATTATTTAAAGCGCAAACTCATTATTTATTACAGCACTGAGTAACAGTGATCGGGTCGACTTAGTCAAAAACCTCGGGCCTGAACGTCAATGATCCGTCACTGTTACACTTCTCCCCTTACAAAAAAATTTGATCATATGATCGAATTTTTCATTTAGTAATTTTATTATTATTTCCTGACAATTGATTCTTAATTCCTATTTTCTTTAAATTTAAAAATAGCGCCAATAATTATGGATGTGATTTCAACTCCATCTATACACAAATTTTCGTTTATGAAGTTGCCCTTCTAGATCATATGTTCAATGTTTGATCTGTCAAAAGTATACACATGTGTTAATGGACAGTGTTTACCTTTGTATTTTTTTTTATTTATTGTGTTTTTCTGACATAACAGTTGTCAGATTTAGTGCCACATTATTGTTTTTAATTAAATATATGGATTCTGGTGATTATTTCTTTGGGTAAGTGTTTATTATTATTTATTTCTCTCATTATATTATTTTGTGGTTAGGTTTTTTAATTTAAAATTTACTATAATAATATTTGTTAATTTTCTCTCCCTTTATTATTAAAAGTTTTATTTTTTATTTATTTATTCCCTCCTCTTTTTTTTATATATTGTTTTATAATATTCAAAAAAAATTCCTTTTTTAAAATATTTATTTAGTCTTCTGCTAGAAATTCCCTTTTTTTTGAATGTTTCCTAACCTGAAATTCGTGGCAAAATTTAAATATCGGTTAAATTTAATTAAAATTTTCTTTTTAATTTCAAATTTCAACGTTCCCATTCAATTCAGGGATTTAAATATTGGAGATTTGCGGAATTATAGGAAAGTATTCCTTATTATTTATTATTAAAATTGTTTTTTTTTTTTATATTAATTTATTTATTAATAATACTTCTTTTATTTAAAATTAATTTTTTTTTTCGATTGAAATTTAACTATGTTGTACCCCCTTTTTTTTATTATTGATAATGAATCATTGAACAAATGATTTTTCCGCATCCTTTTTTTAGCTTGTTTACGGAAATGAAGGTCATTCGTTTCTTGTGGAGTTATTGAAGAAATTACCGGATTGGAAAATTTAATTAATAGGAACCCTATAAAAGGTAAGAAAAATATTTTTTTTTTAAAATGTTATTCAATTGAAAAGTTATTAATTTAATTATTTATTGTTTTCTTTTCAGATTTCAATTTTAAATTGGTTTCAAGGATGTAAAAAAAACGAAAAATCTAATTAATCGGAAAATAGTGAGGCTGAAAAAGGAATTTTCCGTATTTCATCTTTCAATTCCAATTCATCGAATTTTTCTTCCCCTTTTTCTTTGAATTAATGGTAAGTAAAAAAAAATACATATATTAATCAAAAATATACTATTATTTTCCCCCTTTTTTTTGTGCTTTTTTTTTTAATTAAAAATGCTAAAGGGAAATTAAAACATATTCATTTATCCAAGATATATGTATATATATTTTTCTCTCCTTTTTTAAAATTATTGAAATTGAATTATTATTCAAATTGAACATACGATACGTGTGTCATTGGACACTGAAAAGATGTCCAATTTTTAACAAAAATTTCTCTGCATCTAATGCAATTTTCTGCATCCCCTTGTTGCGTTTCTATAGGATTTGCGCAATTGAAACAAGTAATATGTCTGGGGTTATTGAAAATAACTTCATTTGGGGCCATTTTGTGCCAATACCATAATTTGTATGGATTTGGCGGAACAACAAATGGTCCCAATTCTGCCCCCCCCCTGATCCACTTTGTTCCCTTTTATTTAAATAATTTAGGTGGTTGTTGATTATAAAAGCACATTTGCTACATATCCTCTTGTCTCCTGGAAATCTCGAAAAAAATGGTACTTCCATATGGCAATAGGACTGGAAACGCTTCCAAAATGGACTGGACCCCTTGACACTCAATTTTAAATTTTTCGCCCTCTCCAGCTCCATTGCGTTCTCCAAATTGTCGGGAATCTAACATACATATATATACATATATATTATGTACTATAACGTGTATTTTAATTGATTTATTTATTTAATTGAATTTACTGCAATTGTCAATGTTAATTAATTAATTTATAATGTGGATTTGAGCAAAATACCCGTTATATTTGGTTTATTTTAATTTAATGCCCGAGACGCCAGGTTATTTTGTGAAAAATAACCAAACCATTTATTCAATAAATTTAATATGCTAGCCCAGCTGTAAACAAGGAGAGCGGGTGGGTAAGGAAAATCACCAATATAATTTTTAAACCACACTTTAATTATAATATGAAACAGGTCCAGAAGGGACCTGTGAAAACCACAAGTTTTAGTTGATATTTTGAAACAGGTCCTGAAGGGACCTGTGAAAACCACAAGTTTTCGTAGAACAGAGTTTTATTATTTATATTTTTGGCGATCAACTCCGCTGAAAGTTCACTTTGAGACACTTTAAATGATGAGAGACTCACCAGATATACGCCGTCGTCCACGTAGAAGTCCTCGTCTCATTTTATTTTTATAAAACACAATTTAATCTTACACGCAAAATTTACAAAGACACTCCTGTCAAACGCCAAAACGAGAATGATCAAAAATGGCTGTTCGTCCGCGTCAACGCGTCCGTTCGTCGCGCTTCGTCTACATGGTGAGTCTCGCCCGAGTTACAAAAGATCCACAATTGGTAATCGATGCGCGTCAGATGGTAATTTCATTAATTATCGACGGTCGAAAGAAAGTTCGATAAATGACCGATAGGGGCGCTGCACAATAACATGTGTCTGGAAGATGGCGATGACCAGTGTTTTGACAGGTCTCTGTTATTGAAAGTGGATCTTCGTTTTCCTGGCAATGAAGAATAATTGGGACTCACATCCAATTATACATGCCAGAAAGCACCTCCCTTGATGTCCTCCCTCAAGGATATTCAAGTCGATGATCAACCCGACAATTGTGGAATTGGGGAACTTAACCCCGAGTGTTATTTTTATGTAAAGTAAGAGAAAGAAAAGTGTTAGTTTTATTCTTAATTTTTATATGATCGGTGAACAATAATCTGACGGTTCGCTCATTGACAAAATTATTGAATTTATTGAAATAAATGTAAAATAAAAGTGATAGAATTGAAGTGAAATAAGGTATGATTCCCGCTCTGGCGTTAAATTGACGATAAATAAATTAGTTTTCTTTATATGGAACGCAGGCAATAAAATGCCGCGTTACAGTACATTGAAACCCTCCCCCCAAGTAGCTCTTTTAATATATTATTTTATTTATGTTCGAAAGTATTTTTCATTAGAAGATTTGAATGAAAAATTGCGTGCATTTAATTATGGACCGAACAAAAGCGTTAAGGGGGGGGTAAGGTTTGTTTCGCCTAAAAAAGACCTGTTTTCATGAATTTTTTTAGAAAAAATTATTAATGTATTTTTAATTTATATATGTGACGCGACGCAAAGAAAGGTACCTAAGAAGGCAAAAATCGATTTTCGGATTATGATTGTTTTCGATAAACTAAAGATTGCTTTTCAATTATCTGAAGTCAAAATTAATTTTTATCTAATACTTTTCTTGTAATAACGATTTAAAGATGAACAATTCGTGCTAAGAGTTGATTCTCTTTTTCCTCACGCACACATATCTACGCTCCCCTCTCACTGTAACCATGCGCCACTTGAAGTTCGGGTCGGCATTCGGGAATTAGAGAGAGATACACTGACTACTCCGTTCTATCTCACTACAAAAACACGTGTTCGAGTTACCGGCAACAACTTGCACTAATACATGGAGTATAATTTACTTTTTCAAAATATTATTATAGTGTTGCAAATGAATAAAATGATTGGTTAAATGAAAAAATATTAAGCAGCTTATTTCGAGTTCAGTAGTGCACTATTTCATGTTCCAACATCGTGTATTATTTTAATGACCTGTCAATGATTAATTTCCAACGATTATGAATCTCGATCAAGAATATGCGGACATTGTTGATTGCAATTACAGATTGAATAATGACGATGTTTCAGAAGACAAAAACGAAGACACTTCTAAGGTAAATATTAAGTGCATACAAATAAAACAATAATACATTAATACATGTTTTCAGTTTTTTAATGTTACAGTAAAGAAAGTATATTACTTTCCGTCCTGGGAAAACAACGACTTATAAGTAAAGTTCCATGAAAATTACTTTATATTATTATGATTATTTTCTAATTGATTGCACTTCATTTTTTAGTGAAAGTTTATTTGTCTGTTATTGTTTTAAATCTGCTGTATCGTAATTTATTTTTAAACTTAATTATTTGATTTTAAATTTAATTATTCAATTTTATCTTTTTGTTTTGTTACGCAAAAAATTATATGTTATTGTTTTTAGTTTTCTTTATTTTAATTTCTTTTTAGGCTTAATAATTTAATTTAATTTTTTTATTTTGTAACGAAAAAAATCTGTTATTGTTTTTACTTTTCTGTATATTAATTCCTTTTTGGACTTCATAATTTAATTTTATCTTTTTATTTTATTGTAGTAATAAATTGATATGTACTTAGGACATTCATGATGACGACATTGAATACAGTTTAGAGGACTTAAAAGATTTGGAGAAAATAGAACATTTTTATGGTGAAGCAGCCAAAGATTGCTGCCAAAATTGTTGTAACAAAATAATTCCGAAAGACTTTGCTGTGAATAGTCGGTAATGTATTATCTTTTAACTTTTTAACTATTATTAAAAAATAATTATAACATCATAGAACCTAATTATTTCTCACATTTTTACATAAATCATTTTTAAATTGTTTATTTCTTTTTATAGATTAAATTTTCTCGAAATGGAAAAAACTGAACAAGATTTAATTATTTTGTCTCATTTGCAAGCACACCGTCGAATTGCACAATTTAGAGAGAATTATGGCAAATATACCGTCAAACATAAGTCACAATTCAAAAAAGAAGGTGAAAGCGATCGTCAAAATATAAATTATTATATAGCAGGTATTCCCATTTGTCGGAAAATGTACCTTTTTTTATTCGATGTCGGCATAAGGAGGTACAGAAATTTACTAACTCATTTTGATTTGAATGGAATTAACCCTCGGGTTCATAAATTATCTGGAAAAGTACCATCGAGATCCAGTATTTTATCAATTGATGACATTAATAGAGCTGTACAGTATATTGAGGCCGTGGCAGAAAAAACTGCTATACCGCTGCCAGGTCGAATGCCTAAATTTCGAGATTTCAATGTGATGAAACTCCCTTCTAGTGAGACGAAAAGTTCTATATACAAACGGTATCAAGAAGATACTGCGAACGATAGTGATGTAAGAGTAATGTCACTCACTTCTTTTAAAAAAACTTGGTCTATTTATTGTCCCTATATCACAACGATGAAACCTGCGGATGATCTGTGCGACAAATGCCGAGAAAATAGTTTAGAAATCTCAAGATGTGCTAACTTGCCAGATGAGGAAAAAGCTAAAATAATGGCTATTGCAATGGAGCATTTGCAGAAGGCAAAAAATCAGAGAGAATTTTATAATATTCACAGAGACAACATTAAACAGTTTGATCAAGACCCGCAACATCAATCGTCCCTTCTGGTTCTTTCGTTCGATTACGCACAAAACGTGTCATACCCTTCAAGTCCTCAGCAAGTCGGAAAATTGTACTTTAAAGTACCTAGAAAATGTGGAATTTTTGGAGTTCACGACGAAAGCACAGGTGTACAAACTAATTTTTTGATCGACGAAGCAGATAATTCCGGAAAAGGTGCTAATTCTGTGATTAGCATGATCGATTATTATTTAAATGATCATCATGCCGAAGAGGTTACTTTATTCTCGGATAACTGTGTCGGTCAAAACAAAAATAACGCCATGATGCATTACCTTTTGTGGCGTGTGATAACGGGAAGAAATAAAAAAATTTCCCTTCATTTCCTGCTGACGGGACACACAAAATTCAGCCCCGATAGGAATTTTGGAATTGTAAAATCAAAATATGCACGAGCTAATGTTGACTGCCTTGAGGATATGATAGGAGTTGTGAATACTTCATCGCCTCATGGATATAATGTTGCTCTTCCGATAGTCGACCCTTCAACAAGCATTCAAAATGTACAGTGGAAAAAATGGGACGATTTCTTAAAACAGAATTTTCATTCCATCCCAAACATTACGAAGTATCACCATTTTGTCTTTTTATCCAGTGGTGAAATACGAGCGAAAGAATTCGTTGATTCGACAGAAGAAATAGTTCATCCCGAAATTGAATTGAACACAAACGCAAAAGAGGTGAAAAACATTCGTTC